ATAAGAAATTTTTCTATTTTTTTAAGAATATAAAATAGGCTAATCATTTTAGAGAGTTCGGATTTAACATCGACATGATTACTTGTTTCCAAACTTCAATAATTTATAAATTTTTTATCTTTTTCAAGTAGCTTCGGATTTTCCTAAAATTATTGATTTACATTAGAATATTTTATCATCTTAACCTAAAAATTATTAATTAAATACCTTAAAGAAAAGTATTTCATGTTATCATTTCAAAAAAGACAGACCAAGAAGAAATATCAACAGCCTGGATTATAATTATTTTCCCATTTTAAATTTCTGGGGTTTCAAATATTAATCTTCTAACATTTTGAATTTTATAGAAATCAATATTCTTTTTTTTTTACGACTTCAAAAAGCTATCAATTTCACACAATATCCAACTATCACATAGTACTTTGGTTTCATGTCTTGATAAATAAGTTATCTATAATGCATAATCTTTATAGCTTTAGCCATCTAATTATTTTAATTAGTTTAAATACTTAAACACTATTATTCCTTATTACTTATATACACAAATTTGGTTTCTTTGATGAAATTATAAAGATTTTAATAAAATAAATACCTCATAATTAAAGATTCTTTAATGAATACTTAAAAAAAGAAAGAATTAGTGGGAAGACTTTCTTATTCTTAAACAATATTTAATTGATGAATCAAATTAACCATGTACGATTGGTTCCTATTTAAAATGTAAATTTAGAAACGAATCCAAAAAAACATAAAAAATGTTGATTATTGAGAAAATTAAAAATCTTTTAAGTTTCATTATTTCAACTAAATTAATTAATTTAATAAAATAATGAAAAATTGGAGGAAGTGTTTACAGTTTAAAAATAATTTATGAAAGATTGGTAACTTATTACAAGACAATTATAAAAGATCATTTGCAACTTATAAGAATATTGGCGAAAACACACAAAATATTCTCAAAATTATTAAGCTTAATTAGAATAACATTTAGCTACAATATTTGATGAAACTATTATAAGAAATATTATTATAAGCAATTTAAGAAATGAAAATTATAAGAAAATCCATTCTGCAAACAAGATTGTATTACTTATGAAATAATAATGCTTTAGTAATAGAAAGATTTGATTTATGAGAAATTAAAAAATCTAAATCAGAAAGATAAC